CCGTCCACGTAGAATGCGCCGTGTGCCTTGGTCACGTTGACGGACGCCTCGAGTCTCTCCCCATCCCATATTTCCACGAACCGCTTCCTCTCGCCCGAATTCGTTTCGCGAAGGATGGCGATCAGCTTGCCCGAAGGCGAGATGGCGGAAGCGACGACCTCGGGGACACATCCTGGGCAGACGATGCGATCACTGTGAACTTCCCATCGGATCTGTTTGACTTTATGAAGAACGTCTTGCTCGTCGTCCGCTTGGAATTTCGCGTGTGGTCCTGTGAAGATGATACGACTGGACGACTGTTGGTGTGTGTGGCGATGCGCGCCCGCCGTTCCGTTCAAGCAGCCGAAGCCGATAGGAGAGATGACCAATGGACGCACCCTTGTCGGAAACAAACCGCGCAGAAGCATACGCGGGGATGGCTGACAGTTCAGTGTACCAATTCTTTGTGCTTCCGGTTGAGGTGGCCATGGAAGAGTGCGTTCAAGAAAGGTGGTCGTGTGGGCAGGCTGGGGTGGTTGCAAACGTTTTAGGAAAGAGACCGTAAGTCTAGAGTATGTCCAGTTTACACCGTGACAGCCAGAGATCTAGGCCGCGTCCTTGGCCTCGGTGGTACTGAAGCAGTCCGGAACGAGGTGAGACCGGGGATGCTTCAAGGCGGGCCTGTGCTAATTCAGTTGGATTGAATTGAGCCTCATCAAATTCGACGCCAAGTACGACATTCCCCCTAATCACATCCACCTTAGAAAGGTATACTATATTATACTCGAGAACGAGAGAGGGGCGCGACTACGAACGAGGGCCGAGGCTACTCTGGCCCCCACGATAAGAAACCGACGAGGAAGCCAGAGAGTTGGCATAGATGCCATGCGATATCGCAATTCGCCTTCCCCTAATTCTAATTTTGGACGTACAATTGCTCACGTACTATTTCCAGGTCGGCCCACTCGTATGCAAAAGGCACATACCCAGCATGCGAAGAATCTGCGATTCGTACAGAAGCACTTAATCAGACCATCATCGATCGTATCTGACCGCTTATCACCGCGACGCCGCGATCAAAGGCAAATCGTCAGCACCTCGACGCGAAAAACCGATGAACCTACAAGACGGGCCCACGCCTCTCAATACGGGGTTCATATAGTCAGGTGCAGAGAACTGCAACCATCCATTTTCGATTCTGGCGCGCAACCGTGAGAAAACAACCAAAGTCCTCCTTGTTGAGAAATAGAAATAGTACGAAGCGCAGTACTAGTAGCATACGGTGGTGTGCGCCTGACGCTCAACGTGCTGACGGCCAACATGACGTGCGCGTGCTGCACAAAAGAGCAGGATGGGCATCACGACCCGTTAGGAAACGGCGATTACACCGAAGTCAGGCGACCTGGATCTGGCAATGGTAGGGCTTTCGGTCGCAGGCCATGTTAACACATGTGGTGGAGTGTCGGGACCTTTGACATGGAAGAACAAGCCATCCGTTCAAAGGGCGCGGAGAATTTCGCCCGTCCATGGGGTCACGAGTTAGGATACCCCTGGGGGAATGGGGTGGTGATCGGAGCATCCGCCTGCAGGCATCGTCAACGAAGTTTTCTATTCAGAACGACTGAAGAGAATTATCTATGTCGGCAACGTATTTTCGGAAGTCATGGCTTGGTATTCTTGGAGCTGGGCCTGAGAGCGAGACAATAAGATGGCGCATTCCCAAGCGCAAACAACCTCGTGTGCGCGTTGGCCAGACCCGTGTTATATACGAAGGCGTGGTGGTTTTCCACAGTTCTAAGCAGACAGGGCTCAGGTTTAGCGGCACATTCAGAACCCGTGACTTTCGTGCCCATGTCCAGTCGCCCCGAGCGGGCGAGATCCCGACGAGAAACGAGCAAACCTTGTCGTGGGATGTGAGATTATTGCCTTGTAAAGAGTGACAGCCAGTGACAGCACTTTACGGTAATTGCTCTCCACTCCACCAGTTCCGTCGTTTTGAGTTTATGGGCCGCGCTCACAAGACATCGATAAGGACGACCTGCTATTTGCATTCCAACATCTAACTCTCACGGACCAGGGAAAATCTTGCCGACCATGCCACATCCGATGGCGAGATGGCCAGAAGAAATGACCCCGCCCCAAGGCGCAAATGCCTACACGCTTCACAGTCAGTAAATTTTAATCTTGCCGTTCCCCAAGAAAATTCTCACCAGCGATGCACCTGTATCATGATCAGCGTGCCTTCTGGTAAAAATTGTCGCCGTTAGATAGACCAACAGTTCGGTCGCTCGGAGAATAATGAGGTACGAATATGAATAAGAAGTATAACTATGGATATCTGTAGTAATGGATCTGGAAGGACGAGTGAGTGAAAGTGAAGCGGATTTGCCTGGCACTTGTCTGCCTCCTGCAGTGGTAGTGGACCAGTCTGAGATCCGAGGCCGCGGTCCACGGCAAAGCGCGTAGTCTAGTCCAGTTCCGGTTGCGTGTATCAATTTCATAATGTCATCGCCGCATTCCCTTGCCCAGATCTTGTAGTTCAATGGCCGTTTCCACAGTAGGATGCCTCACATCGAGCTCCCATCTCAGCGACCCCATGTAGAAGCATGCCTCAGGCTCGCGCGCATACAAACCCCCTCCTACGACACTCACCTACGCATATGATATTTCTGATAAAAAACAAACCAGAATCTTTGAGGCCCAGCAGGGCCCGTATTATATGTTTCAAAGGCGTCCGCATACGTGGTCGCGGAGCCAGGACGCTTCCCTCAGCGTGTCCTCCAAGCTTGACTACTTGTCTTTCAGGTCGCGTCGGACCTCGTACGCATCGCCGTCCAACGTGCGCCCACGGCCCCGAATGCACTTTTTGTTTTACCCCTGCTCCTGATTCGGACCTACGTAGGCCATGGCCACACCCACCACCAGGCCAGCGACCTCACAATTTGAGCTGGCCGATGCTCAGCCACATTACCTGCCCTCCGCCAGTGAGACGAACATGACAAGTAAGAAGGTAGGCTGAGCATTGAGTGAAGGACAACATAGAGATGTAAGTAATGAGTACGCAAAGGTACAGGGAACAGAAATCGGATTTCAAAGCCCACGGGCACCGCACAGCCTATGCGCAACTTATGCCCAGCTCCGGGAAGTCGTACGTACCCGGGATAGCATTTTCACACCCAGAGCGATCCCTATGCGAATTGCAATTGATCTGGTCATCCGGGGTACTACAGCAGCGAATGCAGAAGCGGTTCAACGCGGGTTCAACGCTGGGTGCCCCATCAGCACAAAGTTCATCTTGGATGAAGATGAGGACACGCACAGCTCAATAAAGCTCGCTCCCCACCCACCAAAGGTACATTGAGCCCCATTCGGGAAGCGCACGTCCATTTGTCCACCCGTATCATTAGGATCCAAGTGAAACTTGCTCGAGTCGATACAGCCAGTGACCTAGAGGGGTGTGCCCTGAAGCCAGATGATCTGCTGAGGACATCTGTGAAGTACTAGTACCTGTATCCACGTTTTGTCGTCCGCGTAAGCGAGCGAGGCTGCAGTGATGAAACCATCGGGCATCCTATTCCTGCAGATATCACTGGAGCTCCCAGGAGTACAGAACGATATTGCGTCCTCTTCCGCTTCAGATATGAGCTCTGATAAAGGCTCAGTTGCCACGAGCACCCGCGGTCGATGCGAATTTGAATTTGAACATACCGCCAGGTCTTGCGGGGAGCAGAAGCGCAAAGTTCTTCTCATCGGAAATGAAGACCGTTGTCGAAACCGAGGGCTCACCAGTTGGCTCGGGGGTCGGTCTCGTGTCCAGGTCCCGTTCCGTTGTCCTAGAGGCGTCTCGTCTGCGGAATCGCAGTGGACGCGCGTGGAGCTTGGAGCGTCGAGTTCGAGTTCGGGAAGGTAAGACATCCGGGTCTTTTTTCCCTCTCCGGAGACGAGGGGCAGAGTTGGACATGTTTCCAGGAGATCTGGATGCGGGAGAACGAATGTACGGATAGAGCGGGTTCGGACGAAGGTCGTACGGGTCAGACCAGTGGTTACGAATGCCAGTGAGGGCGGCGCCGTAGACGAAGCTCGCCGAAAGAAGTGCAACAGATAGAAAAGTGCGCATGAAGAATACTGTAGTCGCTCTGCGACTGAGAACTGTTGAGGGAAGAAGTTACGCGGCGCAAGATGGTTGAACTAGACGATGAGAGCGTCACGGTTATACACAAACCAAGGACTAACAAACGTGATCACTACGTGATCGTGTTTGTCGCGGCCTTTGCCATTTCCCTCCGAATTCGAACTCATTCTCCCGCTCACTGACTTACATTAATATTGTACACGTCCTTGTACTTGGGACAGGTGTTTAACCCGTCATATGTAACATGGGATGGTAAATCCATGCGTCTTATCACAAGATGACACCATGCGGAGGTGGAGAGAACAACAAATTAAAGTTGCACGTTCATTTCGAAGCATATGTGTGTAACATTAATTGAAAGTGGCCGCGCCTCGCGTTTAGGGTACGGGAAGGGGCGAGGAAGGGATGCACGAGCAGGCACGAGAGATGGAAAGGTGAACATTACTTGTAAAGCAGCAGCAGCAGAGCAAACCTTCCCGTTTATTTGTCTGCCAGCTTGAAGGACGATCTAGGGACTCCTCGACTGTAGCACAACAAAGCGAACATATTTAGGAAAGGAATCGAGCGTAGGAAAAGGCTCTTCCATAGGAGTAAGGGAAGCGGGCTGTCCACTCCCGGCAATGTTTTTGAAGGGCGTGAAGGTACGAGCCGGGACGTGATCGCGCAGGGGACGCAACACACCGCGTAGCATGGCCATGGTATTCCACAGCTCCAGGACGTTCGGGTACATGCCAGGACAAGTATCCGTTTGGGTGGCCGGGTTTTCTGTCAGGTGCGTTGGCGTGCCTCATGCGGGCCCTCGGGTCGGAGTTGGGATCCCCGGAAAATAAATGAATTCGTTTTTGCAAGGATGATAAGTTCTCTAGTGAATGGCTGAAGAAGCAGTGAGTCCCGTTTAGCTCAGCTGGTAGAGCGCGTCACTAGTAACATAATCAGATGTTGCGTTATGACGAGGTCAGTCGTTCGAGTCGGCTAATGGGAATTTTTTTTAACCTGTTCAAACTTCACCTCGAGCTTCAGCCACTCCAACCACGACGTGTCAATATACTGTTGGGATGGACAGAAATGGGATGTTATGGCCAACATTGAGAAAGATATTGACACGGTCCATGTTTTGTGAGTTGTAAGGTTGAAGGCAGAGCCGTAGAGGCAACCTCGTGTGGGACGTGGGCCGCACAGCAAACCTCAGCGCAACGCAGGGAATATCTTCTTTTTTTCCCCACCTTCCGCGACAACGAGCTGACACCACAACCCATGTGCCCCAATCATCACCACCACCAACGAGCTGCGGATGGTCCTCCTTGACCTCCTCCCTTGCCTCCCTCCCACACAGGCTCGTAAAATGCCTCCGTCGGTTCACGAGTGGCCGGAGTCGCATCCCGAGGTCGAAGACGGGCTTCCGCCCAATAGCAAGAGCAACGTAACGGAACGCTGGGTGTCGCGCTGCTGCTGCTGTCACCGTGGCCCCCCGCGATGCGTTCCCCTGTCTCGACCTGGAATGACTGACTTTGACTTTGGGGCTTTCTTTTTAGCTGCGCGAGCTGCGGAACCTGGTTGCGGATGTGGCTGCTGGGGACCGCTTCACGTTTCTTCGCGAGTTGGCTCACATGGCCTTTCTTGCGTGTCCTGTGACTAACCCGCTCAGACGCCGGCGCCAGTCCCTGGACATTCCAATCAGCAGCCATCAAAGGACGTCGACGAAGAATATTCATCACGATTGATGAAGAAATTATTATCGATAATCTGAGTCGCAACCTTTTGATGTTGCGCATATAGAGGTGTGCATGGTAGTGGCTGTCGTCAAACCTCTACTGCGGGCAGTTCTCTCTTCGTACGTCCGTTGTGCCACCTGTATTGAACCACACATACGTTTCTGGCGCTCCAAGGGCAGTCTCCGCACCAACTCATGGTAGAAATGAAGGTCTGCTGTCCTCCCTTGATGAAGATCGTCGATGCTAGCCTCATGTCATTGACGGGAACGCCGCATATGAGTTCTCATAGGAGTCCAGTATTGGGAGACTCGTTTCGTGGAGCTGACACGTGCATGACTACAGTCTTCACATCACGTCGAAATACTCCAAACGAAACGAGAATGCGCGCCCGCTCATTCGTGACTTCGCACAGATTCGTCGCGCGTGCCTACGGCCCTGCTGCCTCTCCATATGCCTTCGGTTTTCTGGAACATAAAAGCAAGTCGGCATTATTGTCTTTTTGGCACCTACAACCTACTCACTCACTCCCCTTCGTTACTTTAGACTGTCGTTCCCGATGACACCTGCGTCATTGCACCGTGCTCGACTTTGTTTCGAACGATGGCAATCTCGTAGTCAACCCAAACTTGTCCGTCCTAACTTACGTTTATATGGACAGGAACAAATCCCGGTTCCGACCGTGCCATCAACGAAACGATTCATGCGGCACCTTTTGCGAGGAATACATTCATCAAGTGCACAGCGACCAGTTCATCAAAACCATTTCTTTCCCAAGGGTCCTCAGTTTTTGCGCTAGTCCTAGGTAAGTCCTTCAAATCCCGCGATACTTAGTACCTGCTTGGCGCAATAATGGCAGTCACGACATGTGGTGGGAGCTCGTGTTGGGAGAAGACATAGCTCGTATCTCATGTACTTCGCGTTGTCCACTATGACTTTGTCCCGTCGGTAAGAAAAAGCATTTCATTGTCCATTTAATTGGTGATGATAGTTTTATGGCGGTACAAAACGAAGATGACAGGCTACAGAAATAGTTGGGAACAATAAATGAGAAGTGGCAGTGGCGGGAAGGGGGATGGAGTGTAAAGAATACAGGGGCAATGATAATAATACAGGAGATACAACAACAGAGAGGAGAGTGTCCGAAATATGATAATTGCAATTTACAGGGTGGCCAGCAGCCCCAGGTGTCCGTACTGTGTCCGTTCAAGTTGCGTCCGTGATGTACGTAAGGGTCCATTTGCGAGTCGTCGTTCTGCACCTTAAGGTCTTACTCTTAAGCATAAGTAACTTACGATTGGTTGAAAATTTGATCTGCAGAGAGTGGTGGTGTGTGTGTGTGTGCGTGCGTTCGTGGGCGTCGCGTCGAGTTTGCGTTGACTTTCTAGATGAAGCACACGTGCCAAACTTCCGCGCCATTCGCAGCAGCACGCTGCAAACCGGCAAACGTCGTGCGGCCGCCGAGGAGATCAAAGCGCCGTAGGCCGGCGGGGTCGGGCGCGGCCCTGTTGCGCAGGCCAAAACTCGACGACGCCGCGCGCCTGTGGTTCTCGCTCGGGAGCTGGTTGTATTCCGCCTGGCTGGCGCGCTCGGACAGCTTCGCGTGGAGCGCGTGGAGCACCTCGCGCACGGTCACGGCGTGCGCGCCGCCGTGCGCGCTCGCGGCGTAGAAGCGGCCCCCGAGATACCCGGGACCTCGAGCACGATGCGGGGCGCACGCGTCGAGATCGCGGGCTCGTTCAGTGCGTTGGGGGGGCACGCCGGGTGGAGGCACGCCGCGGACGGCGGTTGCACGACGTTGAAGCTCAATTGGGCGGGCCGGTGGCCCGTGTAGACCAGTAGCTCACTCAATACGGCATACCTGGAACGCTCAGGGCTTACGGGCGGTGTGGGCAGAGAATCTAGAAGGAAAAAAATACGCGGGTCAGTTTCTGGGGGAACACGAGCGGATGATGCGGAGGTGGGATGTGCGCACGTTGATGTTGGAGAAGCGGAGGCAGCGGGACGGTGTTCAAGTGTGGCGCACCCGGCGTCGAGGGATGCTGATGAGACGCGTGCGCGTACGCGTACCCGTGGTGCGATGCCGACCTAGCGGACCCTGGGGGGGACGGTAGACTCACCGGGCTCAGAACCGGGGTCACGGGCAGCCCACCGCCGACCGAGGCGGTGGTCCCAGTCAACGAGTTTAGTGACCACGCGGGGCTAGACGCGAAGGACGATGCATGGTGCTTCGAATGCGAGTGCGAATGGGAAGAAGGCATGGCGGCGAGTCAACGTGAGTCAAAAGGGTCGGCAGAGGCGGGTCGAGGGACGGAAAGAGGCGGAGGAAGGAAGGGCGGGCGGAGGCGGGGGGCGGGGGTTGTGCTGAGGGATGACTCCGACACGTCGCGGTGAACTTATATACGGCCCTGCCATGTTGATTGATGCACACAAAGTGCAACAAGACGTCCTACGTAGGGGTCGCGCAGGGCAGGGGAAGCAAGGAAGCGGGCGGCAGGGGGGGCTTATCGACCCAATGAGAATGCTCAACGACCCCGAAGCGCCAGCGGGTGGGAACCCGACGTCGGGATGTTTCCTAATTCGGAAAGGGCGCATCCCGCCCGACTACCCGAATCGGTCCAGGTGCGCCCCTCCGCCCTGGACGAGGTCCACTTTGATCGCATCATTTGTCTAACCGACTCAGAATCCATACGCGCCCATATGTGGCGTCGCGACGGGCGAGTCACCGTCTGCCGAATTTCCGACGGAAGGCATGACTCGGAGTTGTTTGGGCTTGCCCGGTGTACAAACGGCGCTCGCAGCCGCCCATGGGTCAGCCGACGCCATAACGGAGCGAGATCGGTCCTGGAATGGGTGTTGCGACTAGATGTGGTGAATTGTTCTTCCCTGCTGCTCACAGCAGCTTCGCGAGGCCGAAACGGACATGGTTTGTGTCGGGGCTGCTGCGGCTGATGCTGATGGCCTGATCAACGAATGGTGCTGTAATACGATCGAGTCAGTCTCATTAGTACCTTGCTACATCGAATATACAAATGAAATGATAGTAGATAACCAAGGGGTAAATTATATGAACAGGAACGCAGGTAAAAAGAGAATCCACGCTAGTTCCTGGACTTCAGCCGCTTCATCTCGTGCAACACCTCCTTCCATTCGCTAGCTGCGTCCAGCTCCCGCGCCGGCACTGGCACCACACCGCGCCTCTGTCCTCGCATGCGGGCGCGACCGATACCGATCTCCCCTCAACCTTGATGCCGGTCGCTTCCTGTGCGAGATGTTTCACCTCTGCAAACGAGTTGGTCGCCTGCGCGCGGAGCCACGCTGCGCTGTCTGCGCGATGGCGCAAACAATCTGGGCTCATGTAGCCGACAAGGGGGCCCCAACTCTGCGCCTCTTGCTCGTCCCCGCTGGGCTCCTCCATCGGCCGGCCATCAGCCCAGAGAGTGCCGCCTGTGCGCGTGAGCACTTGCTCGATGCTGAGCGATTCACCGGGCGGGATCGGCGTCGGATGCGAGGGCGTGACGCACGGCATGTCTGTCTCCTTGCGCAACACCGAGTCGACGTCCACTGCAGAGAAGAACGCGACGCCCTGCGGGAGGTCGTCCATGCCGAGTCGGTACGCGAACAAGCAGCGCGTCCAAAGATTCGCTATCTGCAGCGCGAGAGCTACGCGGTACTGGTCCCGCTCAGCGACGAGGTAGCGCAGCTCGTCGTGTACCGAGATGAGATACCGCGCGTGGATGGCGTACTTCTCGATTAGGTATTCCATTGAAACGATGAGCAGGTGTAGATAGTCCACACCAGAGGACTGCACGACCCAGTTGATACGCGACGTCATATAGTCCCCGCCGAACTCGGCGGGAAGGTACTTTTTTGAGAGGGCATGCGTGATGCCGCACCCGAGAGCAGGTGTCGTCGGTTGCTCCGAGAGAGCGATTTCTTCAAGCTTGTTGAACACGAAGCTCTCGGTCCCACCGAACCAGAACTTGCGTCCGAAGACATCTGTTCTGTGCGTGTTCTTGCCCTTGGTCGAGGTATATAATTGCTCCGCGAGCCGCTGCGCCCGCTCGGGGAGCATGTCAGCATTTGCCTGGAGCAGAAGTTGCACTGCATGACGCATGCCCGCGCCGTATATCCGCGAGTAGTTGAACACCTTGGCTTGGTCGCGCGACAGACCGAGAATGCTCGCTGTCTTTGAATGCAGGTCCGTTCCTGCGGCCTTGGTACCCTCCAGTGTCATCCACCCAAGCGCAGTCGCACCGTGCAATCCAAATTG